ATGGTGAAATCGTCTCTACTAAATACAAAAAATAAGCCAGGTGTGGTGGCGAGCACCTATAATCAATCCCAGCTACTTGGGAGCCTATGGCAGGAGAATCGCTTGAACCTGGGAGGCAGAGGTTGCAGTGGGCAGAGATTGTGCCACTGTACTCCAGCTTGGGCAACAAGAGGGAAACTGTCTCAAAAACAAAATAAAATAAAAAATTAAATACCTCACCCTCATTTACACCAACTATGAGGCAAACGAGTTGGTGAAGGCACTGCACAGGCAACTGAAGCCTTTTGAGACTCTGCTGTCCCAGAACCAGGGAGGCCAGGCATTCGTTGTAGGCAACCAGATCTCCTTCACTGACTACAATCGGCTGGACCTGCTACTGATCCACGAGGTCCTCCTGGCTGACATGGTGAAACCTTGTGTCTACTAAAAATAGAAAAATCAGCAGGGTATGGTGGCGAGCACCTGTAATCCCAGAATACTCGGGAGGCTGAGGCAGAAAAATCGCTTGAATCTGGAAGGTGGAAGTTGCAGTGAGCCAAGATCGTACCATTGCACTTCAGCCTGAGTGACAGAGCAAGACTCCATCTCAAAAAAGAAAAAGAAAAAAATAGAAATATCAGCCAGCTGAGGTAACTCACGCCTGTAATCTCAGCACTTTGGGAGGCCAAGGTGGGTGGATCACCTGAAATCAGGAGTTTGATACCAGCCTGGCCAACATGGCGAAATCCCGTCCCTAGTAAAAATTTTAAAAAATTAGCCAGGTGTGTTGGAGGGCACCGTAATCTCAGCTACTCTGGAGGCTGAAGCAGGAAAACTGCCTGAACTCAGGTGACAGAAGGTGCACTGAGCCCAGATTTTGCCACTGTACTCCACTCTGGGCAACAGTGCAAAGCTGTCTCAAAAAAAAAAAAAGAAATATCACTCCCAATACTTGTCTTCCTGTGCCAAACTTAGGAGATACAATATCTACTACCAGCTGAAAATAAGGAGGCAAAGCCAGACATGTTTACTTGTGTTTATTCTTGTTTTTGTTTTTTTTAAAAAAAAAAAAAAAAGATGAGGGACGGAGAGGGAAATAACCCATAAACACTGCGAACAGGAACCAAGACTCCAAGACTTGGGCGTACTCCCTCTACCCTCAGCCTCAGTTCTCCAAGAGATTCCCACCCACCTGATTTTCTTTTAAACAAGACACCCAAATCAGCAGCAAAGGTACTTTGGGTAGTCACTGAGATTTTGAACACCGGGGAAAAGAGGGGGAAAGTCCAAAAAGTAGAAGTTGGGAAGACAAGGGAAGGATCGAGGGAGATGCTAGGCTCTGGAGGACAGAGCTGGGCCGCAAGAAGTGGAAGTAAGCCAGTATGGGGGGTACCCCTCCTGACTGCTGTTGCCCATATTCCCCCGGAACCCAGAGAGCCCCATGGTTTGTTCTGCAGTCCATTCCCTATTACCCAAAAGCCTCAGAGGCCTAACTCCAAGTCCTCTAACTCCTCTTCTAATGCCCTCCTCCTTGCTAGCTTTTCCAGCTGCTCTTTGCTGGGCTGGCTGACTTCCCCAGCCTGGATCCGCTGCTGCAGCTCTTCCACCTGCCGGAGCTTTTTCTTTAGGTTCTTTATCTTCTTGGCTTTCTCAGTGATGGCAGCTGAGTCAGGCTGGTCAGATGCAGCTGTGGGGGCTGCCCTGGAGCCCTGTGGAGCACTGGGGAGTTGGGCTGTCTCTTCCAGGGACACCTTGTCAAGAGTCCGGCTCAAGGCCTCGGCCTCTCCTTTCTCTTGCTGCTGCCGCCTCTTCTCCTTTCGCTTCAGGTTGCGTTTGGCTGTCTTGGAGAGGCCTGGTTCACCACCTTCGGGCCTGGATGGGGTGACAGGAGCAGTGGCCTCAGGGCTGAGCCCTGGGGGCAATTCTGGTTTACTCTTGAAAAACTTCACATACTTGTTTTCATATCTGCAGGAAACAGAGGATGTCAACAGTTTCAGAAAATCACTGACTTGTTGATCCCTTTTCTTAAAACTTCCAAACACTTCATCCTCATTACATTCTTGCTTCCTTTTTTGTTGTTGGTGGTATTTTTGTGGGGTTTTGTCTGTTTTGTTTTTTTTTTCCTTTTTCTTTTTGAGACAGAGTCTCACCCTGTCACTAGGCACCAGGCTGGAGTGCAGTGGCACAATCTCAGCTCACTGCAACATCTGCCTCCTGGGTTCAAGCAATTCTCCTGCCTCAGCCTCCCGAGTAGCTGGGACCACAGGCGCGCGCCACCACGCCCAGCTAATTTTTGTATTTTTAGTAGAGACGGGGTTTCACCATGTTGGCCAGGATGGTCTCGATCTCTTGACCTTGTGATCCGTCCGCCTCGGCCTCCCAAAGTGCTGGGATTACAGGCGTGAGCCACCAAGCCTGGCCTGTCTGTTTTTGAGATGGAGTCTCGCTCTGTTGCCCAGGCCAGAGTACAGTGGTGCAATCTTGGCTCACTGCAGCCTCCCACCTCCTGGGTTCAAGCAATTCTCATGCCTCAGCCTCCTGAGTACCTGGAATTACAGGCTTGTGCCACCACGCCTGGCTAATTTGTATTCTTAATAGAGATGGGGTTTCACCACATTAGCGAGGCTGCTCTTGAACTCCTGACCTCAGGTGATCCACCCACCTGGGCCTCCCAAAGTGCTCGGATTACAAATGTACACCACCGTGCCCAGCCACTTTTCTCTATTTATGGTCCCTCCCCAGCTTTCCTCTGCTCTGCAGAAGAGGTGCAGCGAAGTCCCTAGAACGAACCTAAAGCTTTAGAGGTTCTGATGAACAGAGGTCAAAAGCGTAGGACTAGTGATCTGTAACACCCACTCATCCCTGAACACCAGCCCCTTCCTCTCCTTTCTCAGATAGCTGTTCCTCCTTCCATTTCCTTGGGGCTTAGAAGAGTCCTCCCTGAATTTGCAGGCATAAGGATATTCTATCCTTCTGTAGGGACCCCATCAGAAAATCCCTCCTCAAGTCTAACCACGCACACTGGGACCTCCTCCTGGGGAACGTAGCCTTCTTTCACCCTCCGCTGCTTGCGCCAGGTTCCGTCAGGTCGCTGTGTTGAGGCGATATACTTGCCTAAAATAAGAAAATTTAAGTTAAAGAATTACTCTTTCTTAGTTTCAAAAATTTTACAAGATGAGACAAGAATGTAAATGGGGCCGGGCGCGGTGGCTCACGCCTGTAATCCCAGCACTTTGGGAGGCCGAGGCGGGTGGATCACGAGGTCGAGACCATCCTGGTCAAAATGGTGAAACCCCGTCTCTACTAAAACTACAAAAAATTAGCGGGGCATGGTGGCGCGTGCCTGTAATCCCAGCTACTCAGGAGGCTGAGGCAGGAGAATTGCCTGAACCCANTTTTTTTTTTTTTTTTTGAGATGGAGTTTTGCTCTTGTTGCCCAGGCTGGAGTGCAGCATCATCTTAGCTCACCACAAACTCCACCTCCTTGGTTCAAGCAATTCTCCTGCCTCAGCCTGGGATTACAGCTATGTGCCACCACACCCAACTAATTTTGTATTTTTAGTAGAGACAGGGTTTCTCCATGTTGGTCAGGCTGGTCTCAAACTCCCAACCTCAGGTGATCCACCTGCCTCGGCCTCCCAAAGTGCTGAGATTACAGGTGTGAGCCACCACGCCTGACCAGTATGGTACTATTTTTGTTGGAGTAAGGGGCAACACTTAAAGACATGTAGTCTGTGTACAGGGACAAAGAAAAAAGGTATGCAAGGACACATGCCAAACGTTTAATGCTGATTACCTTAAGAGAGAAACTTAACTTATATATATATATGTTTTGTTGTAGGATCACATGAGGCCAGGGGTTCCAGACCAGCCTGGCCAGCATGGCAAAACCCTGTCTCTACTAAAACTTGGAGACTAGTCGAGGTGGTGCACACCTGTAATCCCAGCACTTTGGGAGGCTGAAGCTGGCAGATCACTTAAGGTCAGCAGTTCAAGACCAGCCTGGCCAACATGGTGAAACCCCATCTCCATTTAAAATACAAAAATTAGCTGGGTGTGGTGGCAGGCGCCTGTAGTCTCAGCTACTAGGAAGGACGAGGCAGGAGAATCTCTTGACCTCCGGAAAGTGGAGTTGGAGTAAGCCAAGATCGTGCCATTGTACTCCAGCCAGGCCGACAGAGCGAGACTCTATCTCAAAAAAATAAAAAAAATAAGTCTGGGCACAGTGGCTCATACCTGTAATCCCGGCACTTTGGGAGGCCGAGGTGGGTGAATTACTTGAGGTCAGGGGTTAGATCAGCCTGGGCAACATGGTGAAATCCTGTCTCTACAAAAATACAAAGAACAGCCAGGTATGGTGGCGGGCACCTGTAATCCCAGATACTTGGGAAGGTGAGGTAGAAGAATTGCTTGAACTTGGGTAGTGGAGCTTTCAGTGAGCTGAGATCGCACCACTGCACTCTATCCTAGGTGACAGAGTGAGACTCCATCTCAAAAAATAAAAATAAGTAAAAGAAATAAAAATACAAAAATTAGCTGGGCATGGTGGCACACTGGTAATCACAGCTACTGGGGAAACTGAGGCACAAGAAGTGCTTGAACCGAGGAGACAGAGGTTGCAGTGAGCCAAGATTGTGCTACTGCACTCCAGCTTGGGTGACAGAGTGAAACTTTCTCAAAAAAAAAAAAAAAAAAAAAAAAAAAAGATTTAAAAAAAAAGTCTAGGGCCTCCTACATGAATTATATATTATTACATGAATTGGTTTTTTGTTCAAAATGCAAACATCATTAATACATTAAAACAAAAAAGCCTGGGCACGGCAGCTTACACCTGTAATCTAGCACTTTGGGAGACCAAGGTGGGCAGATCACCTGAGGTCGGGAGTTTGAGACCAGCCTGACCAACGTGGAGAAACCCCATGTCTACTAAAAAGACAAAATTAGCCAGGCATGGTGGCACATTCCTGTAATCCCAGCTACTCGGGAGACTGAGGCAGAAGAATCACTTGAACCCAGGAGGCAGAGATTGCGGTGAGCCGAGATCGTGTCGTTGCACTCCAGCCTGGGCAACAAGAGTGAAACTCCATCTCAAAAAAAAAAAAAAAAAAAAAAAAAAAAAAACCAAAAACCTAAGGCAACTGCGTGGGAATAGGAAAGGCAGTAAATGAATAAGAGGCTAAAAAGGGGCAAAAACCATAGGGAGGAGAAATGACAAGAGCAGATGTTGTAAAGAAGGAGATATTTTTTAGATGGACCTTGAAAAATAGGTCAACTTTTAGGATTTCATTCTACAGATATATAAACACTGGTATACGAAGGATATATTTAAAGGGTATTTGGGGTTTCTTTTTTGTTTTGTTTTGAGACGCAGTTTTACTCTGTCACCTAGCCTGGAGTAGTGCAATCTTGGCTCACTGCAACCTCCACCTCCCAGGTTCAAGTGATTCTCCTGCCTCAGCCTCCTGAGTAGCTGGGATTACAGGCCCCTGCCACCATGCCCGGCTAATTTTTGTATTATTAGTAGAGACGGGGTTTCGCCACATCAGACAGGCTAGTCTCAAACTCCTGACCTCAGGTGATCCACCTGCCTCGGCCTCCCAAATTGCTGAAATTATAGGCACCAGCCACTGCACCTGGCCTTTAAAGGGTATACATTGATGCATGATTTAAATTAGCAAAAAGCTGAAAGAAACTTAAATGGCCATCAATAAATGAATAATTAGCTAGCACTTTAGGAGGCAGAGGCTGGTGGATCCCTTTAAAGGAATACACTTTAAGCCTGCGTGCAGTGGTTCATGCCTATAATTCCAGCAATTTGGGAGGCCAAGGCAGGTTGGATCACCTGAGATCAGGAGTTTGAGACTACTAGCCTGTCTGACATGGGGAAACCCCATCTTTACTAATAATACAAAAATTAGCCAGGCGTGATGGCACACATCTGTAATCCCAAATACTGGGGAGGCTAAGGCACAAGAATCACTTGAACCCGGGAGGTGGAGGTTGCAGAGTCCCAAAAAACCAAAGATGTTCTACACTGCCTAGTGTTATGATATACTAAGTTAAAAAGTAAGCTGCAGGATAACGTATGGAGTAGTGGTCCTCAAACTTTATTTCAGAACCCCCTTTATATACTGTTCTATTGTAATATGGATATTATTATACAATATTTAAAAGATTATATTGATTAATCTATCGCAAAAGTATTTAAGTACATGGAAGCTATCAAGCTCAGAGTGGGAGATATAAGTTTCCCAAAATTCTTGGCCAGGTCAGGTGACATGCCTCTAATCCCAGCACTTTGAGAGGCCAAGGCGGGCAAATCATCTGAGGTCAGGAGTCTGAGACCAGCCTGGTCAACACAGCAAAACCCCGTCTCTACTAAAAATACAAAAATTAGCTGGGCATGGTAGCACACACCTGTAGTCCCAGATACTCGGAAGCCTGCGGCAGGAAGAACTGCTTGAACCCGGGAGGCAGAGGTTGCAGTGACCAGAGATTGCATCACTGCACTCCAGCCTGGGTGACAGAGTGAGACTCCATCTCGAAAAAATAATAAGTTTTCCAAAATTCTAATTTTCATTTGAGTATTTAAATTTTATTATTGGCAACAAATACCATCAGTTATTTTCCTCCAGTTTTTAGGAAAATGACCATCAGATAGTCAGGTCTGAATTACCATAGTTTGTCATTTTTTTTTCAAGTAAAAAAAAATAGTTTTCCATGGAAAGAAAGTTTGTTCAGCTTGCAAATCAGACAACCAACCTACTTCATTATGCAGCAGAAGTGTTTCATGCTTACTTCCCATTAGTCACAGAGAACACTAAAATGTTTATTCAAGGGCTGGGCTTAATACAATTAATCCTTTTTTATTGTATCATCAATGATATCCTTAGGTGAAACTGGCATTTACAGCAAATGTGTGGCAGTGAAGAACACAATGATTAGTATAGTTTGGTGCCACTGCCATGACAAACGCCATGCTTAGCTTACAGGGCCAGCAGTTTCACCAACCATGTCTTTTGCACCACTGGTAAAAAGTTAACCCCACGAAAAAGACAAATCTTAGTATGATTATGAGAATAGTTCTGCTTGCAGACCTCCCAAAAGTCTTAGAGACCCCCTAAAAGGTCCTGGACCACACTTTGAGATAGCTGGTATACAGTCTGGTACTATTTTTTTTTTTTTTTTTTTGAGATGGAGTTTTGCTCTTGTTGCCCAGGCTGGAGTGCAGCATCATCTTAGCTCACCACAAACTCCACCTCCTTGGTTCAAGCAATTCTCCTGCCTCAGCCTGGGATTACAGCTATGTGCCACCACACCCAACTAATTTTGTATTTTTAGTAGAGACAGGGTTTCTCCATGTTGGTCAGGCTGGTCTCAAACTCCCAACCTCAGGTGATCCACCTGCCTCGGCCTCCCAAAGTGCTGAGATTACAGGTGTGAGCCACCACGCCTGACCAGTATGGTACTATTTTTGTTGGAGTAAGGGGCAACACTTAAAGACATGTAGTCTGTGTACAGGGACAAAGAAAAAAGGTATGCAAGGACACATGCCAAACGTTTAATGCTGATTACCTTAAGAGAGAAACTTAACTTATATATATATATGTTTTGTTGTAGGATCACATGAGGCCAGGGGTTCCAGACCAGCCTGGCCAGCATGGCAAAACCCTGTCTCTACTAAAACTTGGAGACTAGTCGAGGTGGTGCACACCTGTAATCCCAGCACTTTGGGAGGCTGAAGCTGGCAGATCACTTAAGGTCAGCAGTTCAAGACCAGCCTGGCCAACATGGTGAAACCCCATCTCCATTTAAAATACAAAAATTAGCTGGGTGTGGTGGCAGGCGCCTGTAGTCTCAGCTACTAGGAAGGACGAGGCAGGAGAATCTCTTGACCTCCGGAAAGTGGAGTTGGAGTAAGCCAAGATCGTGCCATTTTACTCCAGCCAGGCCGACAGAGCGAGACTCTATCTCAAAAAAATAAAAAAAATAAGTCTGGGCACAGTGGCTCATACCTGTAATCCCGGCACTTTGGGAGGCCGAGGTGGGTGAATTACTTGAGGTCAGGGGTTAGATCAGCCTGGGCAACATGGTGAAATCCTGTCTCTACAAAA